AACGACAAAAAAATCCCTTAAAAATCAAACGCTACCTTTCAAAAATCGATCCACATCTGGCGATATCCTCGAATATTTTTTTTTTTGTAAAACACGTGTGTAGGAAAATAGAAAAAAAGGGATGAGTGTGAAAGAGAGTAGGAAAAAAACACACCCCCTTAAAGTGTATAGTAATGTGAATGTGTGTGTGTGGATTCTTGAGAGAATACGAACACCAGATGGTTAAAAACAAGAAAAGAAAAAATTGAAAAAATCCAACTGTCATCAAGGTAAAAGGAAAAGAATAAGGTTTTTTGTTTATTAATCAAAACAAAAGTGTGCGTTGAGTTTAAAAAGTCTTTAAAATTGGGTTCTTATTGAAAAAAAAATCTTATTAACCGAACATAATAAATAAATCGCGTGAGTGGCGAAATTCACACTTCCGTTCTTTCTGTACCTTTTGTCCTTAACCTTAAATAGGTGTCAATCAACACACCCCCTCCTTTGTTTCATTATTTTTTTATCCTTATTTTTATTTTGCATTTCCTTCTTTTTTGTTTACTAATTTTTTCATTAACAGAAATCCATTAAAACAAAAAAATATTTTTTAAAGTTAATAATTACGTTGTTTTGAATCAAAATTCAAATTCCTTATTCAAAAACGATTAATTTGAGCCCAAACTCGACGGGGTTATCTTAAAAAACAACCGAGATACACCACTTTAAAGATTTGCGATTTTCAATTGTTTTTTGAAACGTCAAAGCTTCAAATTTAAATATCTCGGTCATTTTTAAAGATAACCCCATCGTGTTTGGACTTAAATTAAATGATTTTTCACGTAGATTTTTATTTTTTAATAAAAAAATCAAAAAAGTTACATATCATTTTAAGAATTAGGTTATGTTTATTTGGGTTGATAAATTACTTTAATATTATTAATCAATTGTATCTTTCATTATCAATTTTCAAAACTATTAAAGTTAAGAAAAGGGAAATAATTTTTCGTTACTATTAATAAACACAAATTAATTGAGGTTATAATTTTATCTCAAATTTAGTTAGATTTTCGTATTCCCCTTCAAATTTCCTTTAATTTGAGCCCAAACTCGATGTCGATACCTTAATAAACAACGGAGATACACCACTTTAAAGATTGCCGATTTTCAATTGTTTTTTGAAACGTCAAAACTTCAAATTTAAATATCTCGGTCATTTTTAAAGATAACCCCATCGTGTTTGGACTTAAATTAAATGATTTTTTACGTAGATTTTTATTTTTTGATAAAAAATCAAAAAAGTTAAATATCATTTTAAGAATTAGGTTATGTTTGGGTGGATTAATAACTACAATTTTATTAATCAATTTTATCATTCATTGATCAATTTTTCAAAATTAACAAAAAAAAAATAATTTTTTGCTACTATTAATAATCAGAAATTAATTGAGGTTATGATTTCATCAAATTTAATAAGATTTTCGTATTCATCATTAAATTTCCTTTAATTTGAGCCCAAACTCGATTGGGATACCTTAATAAACAACCGAGATATATCACTTTAAACATTGCCGATTTTCGATTGTTTTTTGAAACGTCAAAGCTTTAAACTTGAATAACTCCGTTGTTTTTAAAGATAACCCCATCGTGTTTGGACTTAAATTAAAGGATTTTTCGCGTAGATTTCGATAAAATCATCAATTTGATCGAAATGTTGATTTTAGATTCGTATTTTTTGTTAAATTTGTTATTTATTAAGAATTTGATACATTTTTTTGTTATTAGGGTTTTATTATTAATTCTTTCGTTTGAATTAAATACGATTTGTTTATTTTAAACGTGTTCGGTTTCAACGAGTCCGGTTACATCCTCTCGTCGATTAAATAAAAGCGAACGTAGACCAAAAGTTATCAATAATCGTTTCTCTTCTCACGGTATAACTGAAACCCTTTGCTGAACAGCACATTGCAACGAAACGAATCGCGATAAAAATTCAAACGTAATCTTTATTTCGATTTTTTTTATCAATTCGTTCCCATGAATATACATTACGTATTAGTAATAGAACGAGATAAGTAAATTGCTTTAATCCGCACCCCCGTTTTTAATCATAAAAAAACGACACGAAACAAAGAGTATGATATATAAGAATCATTATTATCCAGGTTGTTGTATCGGAAGTAATCTCTCTTTCCCCACCCCCCATCTCATTCCACCCACCTCATAACAGCGCCACCTAGGGCCATAAAACAGTGTGTCTGAGTTTGAATTAAAAATCAAAATATATTGCCTCCGAAAAATTTCGGCTCCAGCAGATCCCCTCAGAATCCGGCCTCACCCCATAAACCACAAACGAAACCCCGTTTTTCGGTCGCTCTCTCTCTCATTTTTTTTTTTTAATAATAAGCGCCACCGCGCGCGGATTACCGGTAAACTCTCTCCCCGTTCCTCCGAGCCTACTAGGTGGCGTTAAATTCGGATTTGCGCCCCCGAAACGAATGACTCTTTTAAAGACCTTTAATTTGAACCCAAACACCCCGGATTTATCTCCGATAGTTTTTGGGAATATTAATTTTTGAACATTTTATTAAAAATCGACGTTTAAGTTTAACTTAACAAGATTTTCATGGAGATTTTGATGAAAACACTCATTATACCAAAATTTATTTATTAATTAACCTAAAAATAATTATTAAATAATTAAAATGATGTAATTTAAAGAAAATAACCAATTTTTATGAATCTGCATAAAATTTCCTTTAATTTGATACCAAACTCGATGGGGTTATCTTAATAAACAACCGAGATATACCACTTTAAACATTGACGATTTTCAGTTGTTTCTTGAAACGTCAAAGCTTTAAATGTAAATATCTCGGTCGTTTTTAAAGATAACTTAATCGAGTTTGGACTTAAATTGAAGCATTTTTCATGTAGATTTTTATTCTTTATGAAAAAAATCAAAAAAGTTAATATTATTTTTAAAATAAGGTTATGTTTGGTTGTGTTGTTTAATAATAAGCATAATTTTATTAATCCATGTTATTATTCATTATTAATTTTTGAAACTCTTAAAATTAACAAAAAAAATAATTATGTGCCACTCTTAGTAATCAGAAATTAAGTGAGGTTATGATTTTATCTCAAATTTAATAAGATTTTCAGATTCCTCATAAAATTTCCTTTAATTTGAGCCCAAACTCGATGGGGTTATCTTTATAAACAACTGAGATATCTTCGTTTCAAGATGTACGATATTCACTTGTTTTTTAGAAACGTCAAACTTTAAACCTCCATAACTTCTTTGTTTTTAAAGATAACTTAATCGAGTTTGGACTTAAATTGAAGCATTTTTCATGTAGATTTTTATTCTTTATGAAAAAAATCAAAAAAGTTATTATTTTTAAAATAAGGTTATGTTTGGTTGTGTTGTTTAATAATAAGCATAATTTTATTAATCCATGTTATTATTCATTATTAATATTAACAAAATATTTTGTACTACCATTAATAATCACAAATTAATTGAGGTTATGATTTCATCCCAAATTGAATAAGATTTTCATATTCTTCATTAAATTTCCTTTAATTTGAGCCCAAACTCGATGGGGTTATCTTTATAAACAACTGAGATATCTCCGTTTCAAGATGTACGGTATTCACTTGTTTTTTAGAAACGTCAAACTTTAAACCTCCATAACTTCTTTGTTTTTAAAGATAATTTAATCGAGTTTGGACTTAAATTAAAGTATTTTTCACGGAGTTTTATTCTTTATTAAAAAAATCAAAAAAGTTAATATTATATTTAAAATAAGGTTATGTTTGTTTGGGTTGCCTAATAACAATTTTATTAATCAGTTTTATCATTCATTACCAATTTCTGAAACTATTAATATTAACAGAAAATTTTGTACTACTGTTAATAATCACAAATTAATTGAGGTTATGATTTCATCCCAAATTTTATAAGTTTTTCATATTCTTCATAAAATTTCCTTTAATTTGAGCCCAAACTCGATGGGGCTATCTTAAATAACAACCGAGATATCTTACTTTAAATATATTCGATATTCACTTGTTTTTAGAAACGTCAAACTTTAAACCTTCATAACTTCTTTGTTTTTAAAGATAACCCCATCGTGTTTGGACTTAAATTAAAGGATTTTTCGCGTAGATTTTTATTTTTTAATAACAAAATCAAAAAAAATAAAAATTATGTTAATAATTAGGTTATGTTTGTTTGGGTTGATTAATAATTTTAATTTTATTGATTATTTTTATCATTTATTACCAATTTTCGAAACTGTTAAAGTTAACAAAAAAATGTAATTTTTCGTTACTAGTAATAACCACAAATGAATTGAGGTTATAATTTTATCTCAAATTTAGTAAGATTTTCGCATTCTCCATCAAATTTCCTTTAATTTGAGCCCAAACTCTATAGGGTTATCTTAAATAACAACCGAGATATCTTACTTTAAAAATGTTCGATATTCACTTGTTTTTAGAAACGTCAAACTTGAAACCTTCATAACTTCTTTGTTTTTAAAGATAACCCCATCGTGTTTGGACTTAAATTAAAGGATTTTTCGCGTAGATTTTTATTCTTTAATAAAAAAATAAAAAAAGTAAAAATCAAAATTCTCTTTTAACGAATGACACTTTTAAAGACCTCTAATTTGAACCCAAACACCCCGGATTTATCTTCGATAGTTTTCGGGGAATATTAATTTTGTTCACCTTAACGCTTCTTATTCGTTTCAAAGAAAAAAAATCTCGTTCCATTGTCGTCTGACTTCGTTCTCATCTTAATAAAAACCGATTCTAAATCAGAAGAAGGTGAGGTGAGAGGCACAGCACGTAGGTGTCTTTGTACTGTTGTGTCGTCGTGAGTCAATTTTGGGAGCGTCTTTCTCTTGGGTTTTGTTTATGCGTACGATTGATTTCAATAACAAAAAAAAACTTAAAAATCACCTATTGTTTTGATAATTTATTTTAATTTTTTTTTAAATATTTTTTTTCAGACTGCCGCATTGAAAGATAAAGATATAGCCGAATTAAAAGGACAGGTGGCTTCCTTAGAAAATAAATTAGAAGCGAATATGGATCGGCATAGCTTCGAAAGTGAGATAACCGCAAAAGAAAAACAGGTAAATATCATTAATTATTATCGCCGCGTTGTTTTTTCTTCGAAAACCTAAATAAATATAAGCATCATCCTTTTCGCATCGTTGTGAGTTCTTGTTGTTCCTTGATCCTATTAAAGGAGTATCGCCCGCCTCTTCCCACTAAAAAGCAGTAATTAAAAGGAACCCGAAGGGGAATTCACAACATTGAGAGAAGAGAGACGACGGTTGTTGGCCAAAAACTTGAGAACTCTCGCACCTGTTCGGTTTTACTTCTTCGATACAAGTTTAAGTCGGGGATTACGCCCCTTTTTCAAGCGCCCCCTTCTTCTCTAAATCGCCTTACGATAAGATTTTTGTTCCTATCCTATCGTTTAACACCAAAAATAACACAAAAAATTACTGTTTCCCCCCTTTCACAATAAATAATTTATCTTTACTCAAAACAAAATTAATCGGACATATTAAATATAAAAAAAATTTAGGTAAACACCATGTTTCGACGGAATTATTTTTGTTAGAGTATTAAAATTAGGTTTAAATAAAAAAATTGAAATCTGCGTTTAATTTCCTTTAATTTGATACCCAACATGATATAGTTACGATTAAACCCAAAAAAGTTGTAATTAAAACGCCACCTAGCGGTAAAGTTATATTTTTAAATATCTCGGGAACCGTTTGATATAATTATTTGGTGTTTGGAGTCATTTTAACGGATTTTTTGAGACGAATTTAATAAAATTATAAAAATGATATGTTAATAATCATAAATTTTTTTATTTAAAATAAGGTTATGTTTGTTTGGGTTGCCTAATAACAATTTTATTAAACGGTTTTATGCATTACCAATTTCCGAAACTTTAATATTAACACAAAAAATTTTGTGCTACCATTAATAATCAGAAATTATTTGAGGTTATAATTTTTTCTCAAATTTAATAAGATTTTCAAATTCCTCATTAAATTTCCTTTAATTTGAGCCCAAACTCGATAGGGTTATCTTAAATAACAACCGAGATATCTTACTTTAAAAATGTTCGATATTCACTTGTTTTTAGAAACGTCAAACTTTAAACCTCATAACTTCTTTGTTTTTAAAGATAACTTAATCGAGTTTGGACTTAAATTAAAGCATTTTTCACGTAGATTTTTATTCTTTATTAAAAAAATCAAAAAAGTTAAATTTTGTTTTAAAAATTAGGTTATGTTTGTTTGGGTTGCCTAATAACGATTTTATTAATCAGTTTTATCATTCATTACCAATTTTCGAAACTATTAATATTAACAAAAAATTTTGTACTACCGTTAATAATCACAAATTAATTGAGGTTATGATTTTATGTCAAATTTGATAAGATTTTTAGATTCCTCATTAAATTTCCTTTAATTTGAGCCCAAACTCGATGGGGTTATCTTAAATAACAACCGAGATATCTTACTTTAAAAATGTACGATATTCACTTGTTTTTAGAAACGTCAAACTTTAAACCTCCATAACTTCTTTGTTTTTAAAGATAACTTAATCGAGTTTGGACTTAAATTAAAGCTTTTTTCATGTAGATTTTTATTCTGTATTAAAAAAATCAAAAAAGTTAAATTTTGTTTTAAAAATTAGGTTATGTTTGTTTGGGTTGCCTAATAACGATTTTATTAATCAATTTTATCATTCATTATCAATTTTCGAAACTATTAATATTAACACAAAAATTTTGTACTACCACTAATAATCACAAATTAATTGAGGTTATGATTTTATGTCAAATTTGATAAGATTTTTAGAGTCCTCATTAAATTTCCTTTAATTTGAGCCCAAACACGATAGGGTTATTTTTAAAAACAACCGAGTTATCTTAATTTAAAAATGTTCGATATTCACTTGTTTTTAGAAACGTCAAAGTTTAAACCTTCATAACTTCTTTGTTTTTAAAGATAATTTAATCGAGTTTGGACTTAAATTAAAGCATTTTTCACGTAGATTTTTATTCTTTATTAAAAAAATCAAAAAAGATAAATATTATTTTAAAAATTAGGTTATGTTTGTTTGGGTTGAATAATAACGATTTTATTAATCAATTTTATCATTCATTGCCAATTTTCGAAACTATTAAAATTAACACAAAAATTTTGTACTACCACTAATAATCACAAATTAATTGAGGTTATGATTTTATGTCAAATTTGATAAGATTTTTAGATTCCTTATTGAATTTCCTTTAATTTGAGCCTAAACTCGATGGGGTTATTTTTAAAAACAACCGAGATATCTTACTTTAAAGATGTCGATATTCACTTATTTTTAGAAACGTCAAACTTTAAACCTTCATAACTTCTTTGTTTTTAAAGATAACTTAATCGTGTTTGGACTTAAATTAAAGGATTTTTTACGTAGATTTTTATTTTTTACTAACAAATTAATTATTACGATTAACGATAATTTTTAGGTTATCTTCGTCTAATTAATTAAAAATAATTTAAAATCAAAAAATTCGAATTCCACATTAAATTCCCTTTAATTTGATACCAAACACGACGTATTTCCGGTTAAAACAAAAAAAAAGCGCCCCCTATTGGCGAAACTATTTTTTTTAAATATCTCCGTCCCCGATTAAAATAATCACGTTGTGTTTGGACTCATTTTAAGCGGCTTTACGAGCCGAATCGAACACCACTCCGAAAACAATGACGTTTCATGAAGCGCCCCCTATCGGAATTTGGTTTTTCTTTGATATCTCCGGAGTCGTTTGAGATAATTATGTGGTGTTTGGGCTCATTTTAAAGGATTTTTTGAGCCGGATCTAATAATGTTATAAAAAAGATATGTTAATTATGATTTTTTTTGTGTTTTTGGTCGTTTAAAAGGATTTTTCGCTGAATCGATTAGTGCCGGGTGTTGGGTTCGTTGTCTTTGTAACGAAAATTGAATTTAATGACACACGCACACTAACGATGTTAACTCAACGTTTGTTTCGTAGTTTGGGCCGAGCGAGCGACCGTCGCGTCGGTGGTGGAGTTGGGGTACCGATAGCGAAGCGCCGATAGCGGCCTATATCCGCTTCCGGGCCGGCTCAGACACACCAGAACTAGATATAGTTCGTTGCCTTTTGTTGTCGTTTTTTTAACGATTAAAAAGCGATTCTATTTTTATTGTGATTCTAAAGTTGTTCCGTTTTGACAAGGAGGAAAAAAATTGTTTTGCAGAGAATATTTTTTTTTAAACAAATTATGTAACGATTATAAGAAGTGTTTAGGAGTATAAAAAAATTACTGTAATGCCGAATAATCTTATCTTTATACGGTTTGACCTTTTTAAAATTAATCGTATCGAAAATGAATCTGTAAAAAGTTATTTTAATTATTTTAATCGATTATAACTTGTTTACGTTTAAAACTAACGTGTTAATTAATTCGAATTCTAATTTATTTATATATAAATGCATTGATTTGGTTAAATAAGAAATATGTGAAATGTTTGAACGATTTTAAAATAGAAGTCAATTAAACATAAATAAAAAGCGATAGGTTATCAAAAAAAACTTCGATTATTGGTCACAGTTACCAAATAAAAAATCTTCAAATTTCAATCTCTTCGTTGTCAGTCTCGAAGAAGATTTCTTAACGGCGCCATCATGTTAAAAATTGGCGAAAAAGTAAGTCACACACATATATATAAAAAAATTTTTATTTTGTAATATTAATCCCTCCTCGAGATCCACTTTAAAATCGATACACAACCACCCCCCTTAATGAATAATGAAAAGCCTTTTTACCAAAAGTATAAACGCCCCGGTTATATGTCGGTTTTTTAAAGGGGCGATCGGAGAGGGCGAAGGGATGGTAGCTCTAAGGCTGACCCGAAACGACCTCCTACACTCGTAAAAAGGGTTGACCGAAACTCACTCTCACCCCTTTACCCTTATTTGGTTCCCTTTCGCGTTTCTCTCCTCAACCCCCCCGTTTCCCCCCTACGTTTCGAGTTCCCCTTTAGATTCAACCCCCCCGTGTAACGAAAGAAAATATGAATATGCAGATATAAACGCGAAATCAGATAATGGGGAAAAGGAAGGGGCTTTTTTATTTATTTTGGATTAAAAAAATTGTATTGTTGATTATTTAGTTATGGTGATTAAGTTGTTATTATAGTCACAATTTTATAAGTATACATGTAGTCTTTATCATCCTTGAAAGAGTCTATAGATATTTGGGAGCAATATTTAATGCTCTACAATTGAAAGTAAGAAGTGAGATATGCTTAAAACTTGTTATCTCAAGAACTAAACAATATTTTCAAAAACGGTTTATTGCATTAAAAAGCTGATACTTTATTCTATTATTTCAGAAAATTTCATAACGATATGTTAAGAATTCGATTTTTTACGAATTTTTAAAGTTGAATGATTAAATATAACGTTATGAAGCGAAAGACACCAGTTAATCATTAATATCTCGGAAACTAAAAGATATATCAAAACGCGGTTTTCTTCATTGAAAAGCTCATAGTTTTCTTTATAAGTGGTGATAATTTCATAATAATATCTTAAGAATTCGATTTTTCACAATTTTTTAAAATCAATGATTAAATATAATGTTATAAAGCGAAAATCATCGGTTTAATCATTAATATCTCAGAAACTAAAAGCTATATCAAAACGCGGTTTTCGTCATTGAAAAGTTCATAGTTTTCTTTATAAGTGGAGTAAATTTCATAACAATATCTTAAGAATTTGATTTTTCACGATTTTTTAAAATCAATGATTAAATATAACGTTCTGAAGTGAAAGACATCAGTTAAATCGTTAATATCTCAGAAACTAAATGATACTTTAAAACGCGGTTTTCTTCATTGAAAAGCTCACACTTTTCTTTATAAGTGGTGATAATTTCATAACGATGTCTTAAGAACTCGATTTGTTACGATTTTTTTAAAGTTGATTCAAAAAAGTTTTCGTTGTAGCAAATAAATTTTATTCAAAACTTTTTATCTTAATAACTAGGTATTATTTTCAAAAACGGTTTATTGCATTAAA